CACAGTCAAAGCATGTAGACGTTGTAGCTAGTATGGTCTTCTGCTCTGTTTGTAGTTTATCCTGTTCTTTCATCTTTTTTAATTAAAGTATCAACAAAATTAGCCTTCCTTTTGGCAAGAAACTACTTCAGGATCCATGGACTAATAGCACCCGTATTCACAGGAAATTAATTATTTAATGATTTTCCTGTCACCAGATAAGTTTTCTCCATTACTGACCTTTGTTTTATATCACCAATTTTTCAAAAGTTTAAAAGTGAAATGTTTAAATCATTTGCTCCTAGCATTATTGTACATGAAATACTGCATACTGTTGTATTTTAGTAGACTTGAGCTACACAAAGTTAGAAAATATGTGATCCAGCACAGTTTTTACACTAATAAACTGCTGTTGTAGATTAGAATAGCCTGGAGAATAGCTTGCTGTGAATTGCGGGTATATTTGTTAAAGTTCTAACAGTTTTCCTATGTTCTGTTGAATGTTTAATTGATTGAGTTGATTCTTTAATCTTTTTATTTAAACAGGACAGAGGGATCCTTCTCAGACATGACTGAGGGGATCTGGGGTGAACGGAGCCAATGCAGTGGTCACTTTGAAATCCTGCGCCCAGATGGCACCGTGATCCCTGTAAATTCAGAGGGTCAGAACTGCCTCTATCATGCTGTTGTCCAGGCAACCTGGAAAGACCAAGGTGATATGAGAAATGAGGCAGTTATCCTCAGGAATGAAATCAAACATACTGTAAGTATTTGATCATCAGTTGACACATTCAGAAAAATTAGTGTTATTCATAAATAAAAACAGAGGTTTTCTAGTCAAGAAAAAATATATATATAAATCTTATTCATGTACCACGAAGCAGGTTTAACCACAGTCTAAGCTTGAAGTCTATTTAGAAAAACATGTCTTCAGACTTTGTGAGTCATTTTTAAGTATGTTATAAATGTGACATAACTAGGTTATTTTGCATGCTTACAGAATGAGTATGCTTTACTAATTTAACTTGCTGTCGATAATGAAATGTTCGAAATGAAGAAAAGTAGTAATATAGAGAATATGATGCCCTTGGCCCCACCTCATGCTGTTTGATGCCAATGTTTGGTATAACTGTTTTCAGCACAAACTCACATGTCTGCATTTACAGGCGTTTCTTTCATTTTGGCATGCTGTAGTTAGTGTGCTGCCTTCTGTGGTTAGTTTGTAGTGCACAGACATACATGAACAATTTCAGTGTGGTCTCTGTCCACTAATAACACAGATTCATTAACAACAGCAGCACTAATAAAACAACAGGGATGCTTCCATCCTTCCGTCAGGTTAAGAGCAGGGGTGTCCTCCTCAACAGCACTTTGTCATTTCAGTTTCATACTAATGACACCACCCATCCACCTGCTTCCACTCACGCAGCATCAGCCATCCTTTCCTCAGCCCACATGTTGCTGCTATCTTCGTCTACAGCCTTGTCACTTCTCAGACTGATTGCTGTAATTCTCTTCTCTTTAGTCTCCCTAACAAGTCAAACTCCAGCTGCTGCAGATTTCTGCAGCTGGATCATAACACACACACCCTCCAGAGAGCACATCACCCTGTTCTTCATCAGCTCCACGGGCTGACTGTAGACGCCAGAGTCTCCTTCAAAATAATGCTTCTCACTGTCATACCTATCCATAAACTGGCCCCTCCCTACTTGTGTGATTTACTTCACAGTGCTGCTCCCTCTCGTTCCTTTAAATCTTTGTCCTCCATTCACCTTATTGTTCCCTCTGCTCGTCTCACCATTATGGAGAACAAACCTTTTAGCCACTCTGCTTCCTGACTTTGGAATTCACTTCCTCCTGATATCAGGAATACTAGCTCTCTTGCCTTATTCAGATTTAAACCCACCAGTTTAAACGGGCTAACTCTCTTTAACATTGACTCCAATTCTTGTCTAATGCTGGTTTTTTTTTATCCTTTATAGTGTTTATCTTTTCTTTGTACAGTTTCCTTGGGTTTCAGAAAGGTGCCCACAAATAAAATGTATTATTATTATTTAAAAGGCCACGAGGACCATAAAAACAGAGAAACACACAGTACACTAAGATTTTAGTGTATAAAAGTAAAATCTTTTTAAAACCACAACTTTAAACACAAACATAAAACACGACGGGAGCTGCTGCAACTCTCACAGCTGTTCCCCATGACTTGTAAAGTGCTCACTGGCTCATCCAGGTGTGTTTAGACAGGTGAGTCGAGGACAGAAGAATGTTTTCAACTCTAAATCTGGACTGGTACACAAACTGGGCTGGAGCTGGTCCAGGATGAGTCCCCCGTGGTCTTCTTGACGTGTGATGTCAGTGCCACAGGTCTGTAGTGCTTAGGGCCACTGGGTGTCATGTCTTTGGCAAAGGCACGAGTCATGACCTCTTGCATGCACCCTTTGTAGATTCAGGCTCATCCTGAAGATGTGGTCAAACACCCAGAGAGCTGAAACAACTTTTGAGAACACCGACACTCATGGCATCAGAGTCTTTTTCACCTCCTCCCCATTGCAGGCTCTATGGACCCTCTTCCTTAACTTGTTTGGATGGATTAGTGCTTGAATGTTGGAATGACAGGTATTAATGTCATCCACGATTAGCTCTGTGAGCCCGTCAGTGTCTCTTCCTGAAACACATTTCCTGCCAGCCCCTTTCTTAAGTCAACCTTTTTCAGGCTACTAAGATCACCATGACCTGGATGACTATGAATCTCAGTGCAGCTGATCACATGGGAAACTGCAAAAGATTAAAGGGATTTACATGTTGTCATGTCCAAATATCCTTAACAACACCCAGTCTTGTCCTGTGATCAGTAAAGTTGGATCATGCACTTTGCCACCGCGTCTTTCTGTCCTCGGTTTAATACTAAAATGCTGGGTCACACCCAAATCTCACACTGAAAACCTCATTTAAGACCCCTTTCTGAGTATTAGAGGACTGCACACCTGAAAGCTAGCTGACTTATACCTGGTGATGTATTTATTTTCAGTGCGTCATTTCTATGCACACTCACATAGACTGTACTGTGCACACAGTATAGGATGCATACGCATGAATAACTTTGCTGCTGAGGTAACTCGTCTCCTCTGCTCTCTGATCTCCACTCAGCTTCAACAAAACTTACCGAGATACTTGGAAGTTTTGAAGCTGCAGAAAGAATTTGAAGAAACATGTATGTCCCCTGGAAGATATTACATCTGTGGAGGAGAAGGAGGGAAAGAAGAAAAACAAAAAATTATCGGTGATTGGAAAAATGAATGCAATAAAGAAGCATGGGAACAATATTCAATAGTTAGGACATACGGTCTTGGTATGGTCGGAAAGCATGATGCGTAAGTATTTTTAAGCAAAGCATTTAATGTATTAATTGGTAAATGTTAAAAGTGCAGTAAAAATAAATGCCAAAGCGTGCATATAGATGATGATTTACTGTTATGACTGTCACAGTAGTGCTAAGCACTGCTGGCAGCCTAAATGATAAATTGTCCCTGTTCCTGTGTGGCTTCTCTCCAGCTTTCTGTCTCTTTGAGTTAGTTTTGCTGTATGTTCAGGATGTAACCTGCCTCTTGCATACTGTCAGCTGGGACAGCCATGATTGGTGGTTCTGTATTGGTTATGACATGAATGGACAAACTGTGACATGATATTTAGTCCTGACATGAATGTAACCTTGTCATTAATGTGTTTCTTTTCTAAAGGTTAAAAGCCATAACGAAAGATATCAAGGGTGGGAAACTCACTTTGTTTGATGAAAGGAATGAAGATGAAGTAATTTTAGAGTAAGTATTTTTAAGCAAAGCAATTAATGTATTTATTAGTATACAGTGATCCCTCGCTATAACACGGTTCACCTTTCGCTGCTTCACATTTTGCATATTTTTTTTGCGCAATTTTGCATGCTTTTTTTTTATAAAGCACATTGTGTTCTATCAGGGCTGTGGAAGTGGAAGCAGACCATATCCCTCCTAAATGTGTCTTCAAAAATCTAAATGGAAATCCTTTCTACAGAGTGGCAAAGTGGCAGCTTGATACCAAACATACCGAATATCCTCTACTTTTTCTTTCTAAAGACGTGGAGCAGACCATTAAGGCCTATGAGGACATTATTAAGTCTGAAAAAATAGATGAAAACAAATCCTTAAAACAAAAAGCCATTGAAATTTGCTTTGTGAAAAATGAGTATGAGAAGATGATCCTTGAAAAAATGAGGCTGATTGAAGCTGATCCCAATAACCAAAAAAAACTGGAGGAACTTAAAAATAAAATGTCTGAAAAGCAGGCTCTTTATGATCTGATTTGTGAAAGTGGAGATAACGGGGCATGCAGAAATGTTCATGAGTCGCATCACAAAGGAGGCCTCACTTATGGCGGCTCTACATGTGCTCAGGCTATCAGGTAAGAGAAAAAAAAATATATATATATATTTTTTTTTAAGTTGAATTCAATGTGCTGTTTTTCTGCATAACTTCCTTTCTTCTGTTCTTTCTCAAAGTGCAATCCTTCAACGTACCCTTCTTTCTGGTGATGGAGAAAAACTGATAAAATGGTCACTGATGGCAGCAAATCCAGAGGTGTCAAAACCCATCAAAAAGACTGTTAACAGTAAGTGATTTTTACTAACATATATATATGTGTGTGTGTGTGTGTGTGTGTGTGTGTGTGTGAGATAGCACTCATGAAACGTGTGTGCAAGGTAAGGAGTGGACCCAGAATCCACAGGAGTCTGGGACTGAAATATTAAACTATAGAAACAAGCAGCTCACAAGCATAAGGGAGGATACAACAATATATACACATACTGGGTAACATTACTACAGGAAAAGACACAGGTGTGGAGAACAGCTAGATTAAACACCAACAATGAGACAAGTGAAGTAGGTTAAAGGAAGACAAGGGACTGGCACAAAAATAAAAGAGTCAAGAAAGCAAGATTACAAAATAAAACAGCTTTTTCGATCAAAAATGGCTCATTGACATTTAATCATCTTCAGGACGTACAAGGACACAGGTGAAGTGCAGCATGATGTAAAAACAGAAATTCTAACATTGCTTTTATTGCATTATTGCTTTTATTTTTTGGTGATGTGGATTTGTTGATTCTTTATCTTTAGCCAGAGAGTACAGAGCAAAACAGAAATGAGGAAAGGCTCAAACTGTTTGATGTTGATGACCAGGTCATCCTTTGATCAGAAACACAGTTACATCTGTCATGTGAAATGCATGTACCAACCTGTCATGCTACAAATTAGTTGCATGTACTCGAGATGACTGAGGATTAATCAACGCCTTAATACTGTCAGCTGATGTCCTGCTCGGCATGTGATCCAAAAATCAAATACAGAGGGGAAAGTGTCCACTCCAGCTTGAGTCACATGGCTTATTCAAGCTGTCATCATTTAGAAAGTGTCGATAGAATGTCTCAACATTACAGGGTAAAAGCTGGATTCTCCCGTTTCTGTCCTCCTGTTTTAAAAACAAAAGATCAAGCACTGGTATTTTACAGTTCTTGTTTTCACTAGTAGTGAAATCAGAAATCAGTTCATCAGTAGTTAACTAACATATACTAATGCAAGTCTATTAGCACTAACTGAATGACCGGTGACGTCATGTTTTGTATAACACATAGATCATGATATCAATAACATTTACTGTGTGTCAGCAATGAAACAGCGTTTTCTCTCCTTAATGAGTGTAAATTTCATCTGATCACAGTTCTCTCTTCTGTTT